TTTCATCATAGGCCTTGTTCTTCCCTCCTCCAAACATAGCGTTGATCCATGGGCCCAAACAGTTCTAATTTTGTTTCATCAGTCCACAGAACACTATCCCACAACTTTTGTGGTTTTGTCCACATGGCTTTTGGCATACTGCAGTCGACTCTTCTTATTCTTTGGAGACAGCAAGGGGGTACGCCTGGAGTTCTGGCACGGAGGCCTTCATTACGCAGTGTGCGTCTTATTGTCTGGGCTGAAACTTCTGTACCCACATCTGACAAATCTTTTCTCAGTTCCTCAGCAGTCACACGGGGACTTCTCTCCACTCTACGCTTCAGGTAGCGCACAGCAGTCGAAGTCAGCATCTTCTTTCTGCCACGACCAGGTAGCGTTTCAACAGTGCCCTTTGCCTTGAATTTGCGAATGATGCTTCCTAAGGTGTCTCTCTTGGTATGTTTAACATCTTTGCAATCTTCTTATAGCCATTGCCCTTCCTGTGAAGAGAAATCACCTCTTCTCTTGTCTTCCTGGACCATTCTCTTGCCTTCACCATGTTTGTAACCACACCAGTAAATGTCTAGAAGGAGCTGAGTATCACAGTCATTTTAAAGCTGCCTAATTGGTGCTTATTATGCTTGATTGCTGCTCGGTGACATCCACAGGTGTTTTCAATACCTGATGGAAAGCACCTGTATGAACCTCTGTTCTTCAGAGTGGTAGTCTTTAAGGGGTTGAATAATTGTGGCAATGAAGAAACCACATAAGAACCATTTACTACTGTATTACATAAACAATTGATGTCATTTTAGTTGCATTTGGGTAGTTACAACGTCCTTGTAGGATTTGATTCTGAATACAATTCCAAATGTACACTATAGTCCCTAAACCCCTTTACAGCATTGGGGGTTGAATAATTTTGGTCACAACTGTATACCATAGTTTGTAGACGCTATATAACTTTCACAAAAAGCAATCAATATACACTTATTGGGATTTTTTAACCAAAAACATGTAGCAGAATACATTCTGGCCTAAATTTATGATGAAATTTTAGTTTTTTTTAGATATTTTTTATGACCAAAATGAGAAAATATTGTTTTTATTTCAAAAAAAAATGTTTTTTCTTCAAAACTTTTTCTGGTTATAGCGCCAAAAATAAAAAGTGCACAGGTAATCAACTACCACCAAAAGAATGCTCTATTTGTTTTAAAAAAAGGACATAAATTTCATTTATGTACCATATTGCATGACCGTGCAATTGTCTGTTAAACTAGCGCAGCGCTGTATAGCAAAAAAAAAATGTCGTAAGTTGCAGTATCTATACCATAGTTTGTAGACGCTATAACTTTCACACAAAGCAATCAATATACACTTATTGGGATTTTTTTTACCAAAAAACATGGAGCAGAATACATTTTGGCCTAAATTTATAACCAACTTTGAGTTTACTATATATTTTTTATATAGCTGAAAGTAAAAAATATTGTTTTTCTTCAAAATATTTGGTCTTTTTTTGTTTATAGCGTGAAAAATAAAAAGCGCACAGGTGATCAAATACCACCGAAAGAAAGCTCTATTTGTGTGAAAAAAAGGACGTAAATTTCGTTTAGGTGCAGCATTGCATGACCGCGCAATTATCAGTTGAATTAGAGCAGCGCCGAGTAGCAAAAAGAGGCCTGGTCATTAAGGGGGGTAAATCCTCAGGAGCTCAAGTGGTTAAATTTATTTTTTGCACCAGTTATAGTCCATGGAGTTTAAAAAGGGCTTTTTTTTTTACTCTGTGGGACCTTGATAGCGGAGATACATTAATCCCAGCAAGGAAGGGATGGGAGAAGGATTTAGGACCCTTAACAGAGGATCTCTGGAATCGAGCCTTAACAACACTCCCCTTAGTGTCTTTATCGCCATCACAGAGACTTATATAGCTGTTTATTCTTCATAGAGTTTATCATACTGCCGACAAACTGTTTAGATGGCACCATAGAGATATAGATGCATGCTCTAGATTTGATAGGGGTCTGGCAGACCTTATTCATATAATGTGGAGACATCCAAAACTTCACACATACTGGGAAGATTGTAACCTTAATATCCTCTACCTACCAGGTTGCCTTGAATATCAAACCAAAACTATGTCTCCTTAATATTTTGATGAATCCAGTATGCCTGCTGAGGAAGTGACCCCTGTCATTAGACTGCTTTACATAGCACGTAAGCTAATTGCACAAAAATGGTTGTCCCTTAATTCTCCCACAGTAGCAGAGTGGAAAAACCAAGTCGATGTTGTCATATTTCAACACGGAAACTGCTTCCATAAATGTGAAAAAATATGGAATCCCAGGCTAGCAGTACATGGCCTAGCCCTATTTCAGCTTATTGTAGCTTTTTTTCTTTTTTATCTAGAGAATTGTACCAACTTCTGAAGTTCCACTGTTTACAAAAAAACCTAAAGTTGATACATTCTAATTTTCATAATGTAATGATTTCACAGATGTGGGCTGAATTCTACAGGTCTCTTTTTTTTCAGTATTATTGTATGTACTCATGCTTACAGTATACAGCGTATATTTTTTTACAGAATAACTGCACATACCAGTTATCAATACAATAACTTTTTGTGAGGCAGAGGTTGTATGGAAAAAATCAAATAAAAAAAGATCTGATTTAAAAATAAATCTTAGGTTCCAGAAAAGGAGAATGTGTCTAATAAAAATAAGAGTGTACAAAAATTACAATGTATCTAGTCATTAAGTCATGTTTCACAAAAAGGATCCCTAGTGGCTGCAATTTGAAGGAATGGGCAGAGTGTATAAACTCTACATGAAAAGAAATATTTGAAAAAGAAACTAAATGGATCTAGAGATTTCTAGTACCTGAAAGACTAACCATAGAATTAGACTCAAATAGCTTAATTAGCAATTCCTAAAACATTATATGCAGGGTTAATCCATAATTTTATTCGTTAGAATATACAATTGCATTTTTGGGTTTCTAATATTGTTGTAATGTATTGCTGTGCTGTGTATATTTATTAATATATTAGTGTTGAAACTGAAATTGTGTTGTTGTGGGGGAACTGTTGCTAAGATAACTGAAGGTAGAAAGCATGTTCATAGTTTTTAAGGTAGGAAAAAGACGTCAACCAATCCAGCCAGTTTTACTTGTGTACATGTACTGTATGTGTGTTTTGATTTTTTGTTCTCAAGCAATTCTCATAGCCCTTTAAATTCTGTTTCCTGAGGAAGACATCTAAAAGTTTTTTGAAGTTGTCAACACTCTCAGCTACTACCACATTCTGGAGTTCCACATGTTTACTGATCTAACAGTAAAGAACTGTATTCCACAATCTAAGGTTAAACCTTCTTTTTTCTAATCTTAAATTGTGGCCATGTGTCCTCTTCAAGGACCTTAGAGTAAACAGTTAATCACCTTTGATATACGCTTTAATAGTTACACCTGTTCAATTGCTTGGTAACACAAATTGCTAATCAGCCAATCCCATGGCTGCAACTCAGTGCATTTAGGCATGTAGACGTGGTGACGATGACTTGCTGAAGATCAAACCGAGAATCAGAATGGGAAAGAAAGGGGATTTAAGTGACTTTGAACATGGCATGGATGGGCCAGTCTGAGTATTTAAAAAACTGCTGATCTACTGATATTTTCACACACAACCATATCTAGGGTTTACAGGGAATGTTCCAAAAAAGAAAAAATATCCAGTGAGCGACAGTTCTGTGGACAAAAATGGCTTGTTGTTGTCAGAGGAGAATGGGCAGACTGGTTGCTGTGAGATATTTTCTTGGCACTAGCAAGGTGTACCTAAATAAAGTGGCTGGTGAGTGTATTTGTACATTGTAAACATATCTCCCCTAATTCTGTCCCTCAGAAATAGAGTGTACCCCTCAATCTTTGCAGCCCAGTCATATGAGATGCACAACTAGATTTCTGATATGTCCATGAAGTCAAATTGATCCTCAAATAACAGAAGTTCTAGTTCTAGATTTTGTTTGCCAGGCTTTTTTCATTTGTGAACTTAACTTTTAATTTTGTATTAGTGTTTAATATTCTATTACTACTCATTTTTGAGCTACAACTTGATGCCACTACTCTTTTTGTATTGGACATGGGTAATGCTACATATACAGTAGTTACATAGTTAGTCTGGCTGAAAAGAAGACAAAAATCCATCCAGTGCAACCTTAAAAAAAAAAAGTTATAATCCTATACCCACATTTGATCCAGAGGTAGGCAAAAAAACCCCAGCAAAGCATGATCCAATTTGCTCCTGCTGGGAAAAAAAATTCCTTCCTGATCCCCCGAGAGGCAATCAGATATTCCCTGGATCAATTTTACCTATAAATGTTAGTATCCAGTTATATTCTGTGTATCTAAGAAAGAATCCAGGCCCTTTTTGAAGCAATCCACTGAGCTGGCCAGAACCAACTCTTGAGGGAAACTATTCCACATTTTCACAGCTCTCACTGTGAAGAAACCCCTACGTGTTTGGAGATTAAATTTCTTTTCCTCCAGACGTAAAGAGTGCCCCTTTGTCCTCTGTGATGACCTCAGGGGGAATAGCTGATCTCCTTCATGCCTCGTATCAGTTTGGAGTCTATACTTCTTTTAATACAAGAGAGGATTTTGCTTGCTTTAGCATTTTGGCATTGAATGTCATTATTAAGCTTGTGATCTACCAGAACTCCCAGATCCTTTTCCACCATTGATTCCCCCTGTTGTACTCCCCCTAGTAGGTAAGATGCATGCATATTCTTAAGACCCAAGTGCATAACCTTACATTTATCAACATTAAACCTCATTTGCCACATAGTTGCCCAATTAAACAGTGCATTGAGGTAGGCTTGTAAGTTGAAGACATCCTGTAAGGACGTTATTCCACTGCACAGCTTGGTGTCATCTGCAAAGACTGAAATGGGATTTTTAATCCCAGACCATATATCGTTTATAAATATATTAAAAAGTAAGGGTCCCAACACTGAACCTTGGGGTACACCCAGGGGCAGACTGACAACTCATGGGGCCCCGGGCAATAAGGGATCATGGGGCCCCTGTGTCCTTGCCCAAACTCAAAAAAGTCTATGAAAAAGGTACCAGGGGCATCTCATGGGGCCCCCTACTGACCCTGGGCCCTCGGGCAGTGCCCGAGTTTCCAAATGGCCAGTCCGCCCCTGGGTACACCATTAACAACACTAGACCAATCAGAGTATGAATCATTAACCAATACTCTCTGAATACGATCTTTTAGCCAGTTTTCTGTCCATTTACATATGGATTTTTCCAAGCATGTAGACTTTACCTTACACATTAGCCGTGTGTGGGGAACTGTGTCAAACGCTTTTGCAAAATCCAAGCATACCACGTCCACAGCTACCCCTCTGTCCAAGGTTTTGCTCACCTCCTCATAAAAAGAAAACAGATTTGTTTGACAACTTCTGTCTTTCATGAATCCATGCTGCCTGTTGTTTAAAATATTTTTTTCCAGCAAGAACTCATCTATGTGGTATTTTATTAAACGCTCCAGTATCTTCCCAACTATAGAAGTTAAACTAACAGGTCTATAATTACTTGGTAAAGATTTTTTACCCCTTTTTAAATGTGGTTTCTCTGCTGTCTAGTTTGAGCCCCTCTCCCCCCACTTTTCACCCTCACTATATCCCATTCCCCCTTAGAACCTTGCTCTCCATTCGGCATATTCTTTTCTGAGTTTCAAGCCTATTCCATGGTCAAAAGCGTAAAAGACTTTTCTGTTTATAGATTGCTAAGGTCCATCGTAACTGGCATTTTTCCAAGGGGATGTGGAATACACTATGCTGAAAGTGCACCATAAAAAGGATATATGGTGAGTGGAAATACAGTGTAAAAATTATATAATTTGGTGCACATGGATTACTGTATGTCACAAAGAGATATTATATTGGATTATACTACTGGTTATGTCCAGGTTCAAGCAATATAAAGACTGTTTTCCTTTTTGTGCTGTTTAGTGAGCTTGCTTGGCTCGCTGAGGGGTTAATGAGCCCAGCTGAAGCAGGACTAAGTACTCTGGGCTCTTTAAAACTCCCAGTCTACTTATGGAGCATGCTCCATCTTCGGACCAGATCTCTGCGCAGGACAGATTGGGGAGCGGCAACCTGCCTATACAGGTGAAACTCGAAAAATTAGAATATCGTGCAAAAGTTCATTTATTTCAGTAATGCAACTTAAAAGGTGAAACTAATATATGAGATAGACTCGTTACATGCAAAGCAAGATAGTTCAAGCTGTGATTTGAAATAATTGTGATGATTATGGCTTACAGCTCATGAAAACCCCAAATCCACATTCTCAGAAAATGAGAATATTACATGCAATCAATAAAACAAGGATTGTACATAGAACAATATCGTGCCTGTGAAAAGTATAAGCATGCATATGTACTCAGTACTTGGTTTGGGCCCCTTTTGCAGCAATTACTGCCTCAATATGGTGTGGCATGGCAGCCATCAGCCTGTGGCACTGCTGAGGTGTTATGGAAGACCAGGATGCTTCAATAGCGGTCTTCAGCTCTTCTGCATTGTTCGGTCTCATGTCTCTCACCTTTCTCTTGGCAATGCCCCATAGATTCTCTATGGGGTTCAGGTCAGGCGCGTTTGCTGGCCAATCAAGCACAGTAATCCCACGGTCATTGAACCAGGTTTTGGTGCTTTTGGTAGTGTGGGGAGGTGCCAAGTCCTGCTGGAAAATGAAGTCAGCATCCCCATACAGCTCGTCTGCGGAATGAAACATGAAGTGCTCCAAAATCTCCTGGTAGACGGCTGCGTTGACCCTGGACTTAGTGAAGCACAGTGGACCAACACCAGCAGATGACATGGCTCCCCAAATCAATACAGACTGTGGAAACTTCACACTGGACTTCAAGCATCTTGCAATGTGTGCCTCTCCAATTTTCCTCCATACTCTGGGTCCTTGGTTTCCAAATGAGATGCAAAAGTTGCTCTCATCAGAAAAGAGGACTTTGGACCACTGAGCAACAGACCAGGTCTGTTTTTCTTTAGCCCGGGTAAGACGCTTCTGACGTTCTTTGTTGTTCAGGAGCGGCTTGACAAGAGGAATACGACATTTGAAGCCCATGTCCAGGCTCCGTCTGTGTGTGGTGGCTCTTGATGCAATGACTCCAGCCTCAGTCCACTCCTTGTGAAAGTCCCCAACACTTTTGAATGGCCTTTTCCTAACAATCCTCTCCAGGCTGCGGTCATCCCTGCTGCTTGTGCACCTTTTCCTTCCACACTTTTCCCTTCCACTTAACTTTCTATTAATGTGCTTTGATACAGCACTTTAAGAACATCCAACTTCTTTTGCAATTTCCTTTTGAGGCTTTCCCTCTTTATGGAGGGTGTCAATGATGGTTTTCTGCACAACTGTCAGGTCAGCAGTCTTTCCCATGATTGTGATTCCTACTGAACCAGACTGAGAGACCATTCAAAGGCTCAGGAACCCTTTGCAGGTGTTGTGGCTTAATTAGCTGATTAGAGTGGGACACTTTGAGCCTAGAATATTGCACCTTTTCACAATCTTCTAATTTTCTGAGATTGTGGATTTGGGGTTTTCATGAGCTGTAAGCCATAATCATCACAATTATGACAAATCACGGCTTGAACTATCTTGCTTTGCATGTAATGAGTCTATCTCATATATTAGTTTCACCTTTTAAGTTGCATTACTGAAATAAATGAACTTTTGCACGATATTCTAATTTTTCGAGTTTCACCTGTATATATATACATATCTGTGTTTTCTAAAAAGATAATTATCTTCATATCATATTTAAGGTGATTTATGATTTTTAGGCATTTATATAAGATTATAATGACAGTGTTCTTGATATATTTTGGTTATTAGTTTTTAGCTATTGATTAAATAGAATCTATGTAATTGGTATTTACTAAGATGTAAGCATTTTATTGGAAGGTTGAGCCTCACATAATGCTAGGGTCAATGGGGTAGATTTACTAAAGGCAAATAGACTGTGTACTCTGCAAGTGTAGTTGCACTCATTTTCCCCACAACTTAGTAGATCTCTACTGATTTCCATTATTTAATCATATTCAAGCTAAAAAGCTTTTTTTTAATTTTTTTTCTTGCACTTGCATTTAATATGGTGAAGAGTAGGTTTAGGTGCCTTAATAAACTTAAATCATCAGCAAATGGGAAGTAATTTGAGTTTATAGCATGTGAGACCACCCACATTGTATATGCCTTAGAGTGCCCATGTGGCCTGATCTATATAGGTCACACTAAAAGACATTTTAGAAAAAGGATTAATGAACATCTACATAATATATGTATAGGATATAAGTATCACAGTGTTTCCATGCACTTTAGGAAGCATCATAATAAGGACCCTTCTTGTGTGAAATTCTGGGGGATAGATACTATTCCACATTCTTGGCGAGGCTTCCAATAGAGTGAGAGAATTATCCAAAAGGGAAACAAAGTGGATTTACCTTACGGATGCCTTAACACCTAATGGTTTAAATATTGAGTTAGATATAAATTTTTTATCAGTGATTATTGATGTTTATTATTATTTTTAGCATGTAATGAACAATTGTTGATTTATTATATAATTTTATTTTTTAGTTATTTTTTAATTAATATTAATATATATATATAATTTGCATATTCATTATTATTTAAAACGGTTGCTTTGTTAAATTTTATAATTTATGCAATTTATCAATTCAGTTTTTTATTATTCACTATTATTTAAGCGTGGGGATATAAATTGATATTTCAGCTTATATATATTGATGAAATTACTATGCTTCTTCTAAATGGCAGAGCTTCAGTGCAGGTGACCCTCTCTATATCCAGGAGTAGAAAGGAAGTCACTGATACTTCTGTCAGAACACAGCACTGCTTAGTGTATGTAGTACAAGCTACTACAGTGTATTATAGCCTAAGCATTGGCTAGTCACTTCTGGGAGTCAAATAATTGGCTTGGTCCAAACTTGCCCAAACTAATTATTTAACGTGCCAGGAAACCTGGAATGCTCTTTTAAAATAACTGCAGAAGACATCCCAAAATAAGATATAAAAAAATACAAAAGAAAAACAGGAATGGAAGATGCAGAAGTCCAGCATGCTCTAGCAGCAACTAACAACATAATTTTAACATTTACAAACCACGTGATTTAGAGCTGCCTAAGTCCTAAGGTTTCATTGCACTATAGCCCAATTAGTGCAACAATTTGATAGTAGTATTGACGTCTAAACATATAAAACCTTACGAGGAAGCAATTTGTATTCTATAAAAGTACATAACTCCAAAAGCTGTTATAGTCAGATCTTTTAGATACTGATAGAATTAAATTGATAAATGTTTAGTTTTATAGCCTTGTTGGTTTCTGTCCAACCTCTTATTGCCACACTGATTTATTACATTGGCAGTGGAAATGTGTAAATATATTCAATTCTGTTCTGATTCAGCAGGATTAGGACCAAAGATAGCTGTAGGCCGGTTAACAATTTTAGGGCCTATGGGTTTGATTTACTAAAGGCAAATTGTCTGTTTTCTCTGCAAGGGAATTCACCCCAGAGTAGTGAAGTTTCACTTTGCAAAGAATACCCAATAAAGCAAGGGAAAAAAAAGAATTGCATGTGATTTGATGATAGAAGTCAACGTAGCTTTGAAGCTCTGCGGCAAATGTCCTTGAAAAGTGCAACTTCAAAGCAAACAGCCTATTTACCTTTAGTAAATCAAACCCAATTCTCCTTAATCTCCTCTTCCAGGCATGTAAACATTTCCATTCTCTATATCACTTTTTTGGCTTAAAAGACTTATTTGCCTCCACTTTCAGTGGCACACACACTGTATGATAGCATTGGATTACTAATTATTATAAGCCTGATATGTATATTCTGTATACTACAGTTCAGTTAAACTATCAGCTCTTTAAAACATTTTTGCTACCCACTTCAAAAACTGAGTATAATATTGTTAGCTGTAAATGGGACAAAAAAGAAATACTTCGGGTGGTATTAATTTATAAGTGGGAGGGAAGGTGGAGAATACACATTAGCTTTGCATATTTAAGATTACCTCTTATTTTAGTGTTGCTTTTTGAGACCTCTACCCATAGTGGAATGACTATTGCTTTGTATTGTGTTATGAAGCTAGTATTATATCCTTTAATGGTAATAAGGAGGATCTGTAAAGAAGAGCTATTTGATGCAGTGATGATTTTTGATGAAGTAAAGTTTTTTGTAAAGTAAATTTGTAATTTATTTTTAATGTACAAATGAGCATATCGAATGCTCTTTTCACATGCATTTAACTCTATTTGATCCTGTGCATCATACAGTCCATGGAAGAATGGCATGGTGATGACAAGCAAAGGGGAAAAATGCATACTGATTTCAATACTTTTATTTTTTTTTTAGAATGCTGGGCATGAATTTAATTGATAGTAAAAAATGCAAACATTGTTATTTTTGGAGCAGTTTCACTTGTTGGCATCAGAAGGGAAATTTTAAATGAACAAGATTAAAACATTCGGCTGCATCTTGAGTATGCTGTCCAGTTCTGGTCACCAATCCTCAAGAATTATGTTCTTTAACTGGGGAGAGTCCAGAGAAGGTCAGGAGCTCAGTTATGAGGACCAGCTACAAACAATAAACTTATTCTCCTTGGAGAAGAGATGCTTAAGAGGAGATAAGGTTGCAATATACAAATCTTTCAATGGCAACTCTAGCATTGAGAGGAAACTATTTAACCTAAGGTCTCTAAAGAAGACACATGGCCACACACTGAAGTTGCATGAGAAGTAGTTCAATCTTAAAACTGCATAAGGTGTTCTTTACTGTTAAAGTGGTAGGAATGTGGAACTCTCTTTTTTAAGTGGTAGTGTCAGCAAGGAGTATAACTTCAAAAAAAATTTAGATGTGTTTCCTAGAGAACACAATGCACAGGAATACTAAAAGTGGTAGCGACACATACACACACACACTGGATGGACTGGTGTTTTTATTCAACCTTGCCAACGATGTAACTATCACAGTCAGCAGTGGCTGAAAAATTTGTATCTGAGACAGAATAATTTTTGTAAAGGTTATTTCTGTAGTTGGACAATTTGGTATATCTTGAGGTGACAAGGCCACCAAGTTTTTCAGCTACTTTACTGCGAGAGAGTGTGCATGTCTGATTTGACCAGTTTAGGTTACTTGTTAATTTTTTATAGATCCTCAAATCTGTCAAGGCACAAAAAAAATCACGGCTTTGGATATTTGTGAAGATTAGGTGCTTCTCCTATTTTCATATTTGAAATCTACTATATTTTTTTATGAACATGCCATTTATGTAGATCATCAATACAAACTAACAAGTCAGGCCATAAAGTTGATTTTACTGCAATATCATCACCATGTTGGCTTTGGTTAGCCAAAGGTACATGAGTTTGACATTTGCACTTTCCGTTACTTCTCACTTATTGACAGAACACTCCATGTTTGGAAAATTAGTCAAATTACTTTAAGAGATTATGTGACAAGGCTTTTCTTCCAGCTTTTTTTTTTAATACCCAGTGATTGTTTGGTTGTTCTTCCAGATTTTGACTTCTGAAGCCAGCAGAGCATTCTCCATATTTTTAACCTCATTGCTAAAATCTAGAAGTGTAACCCCAATGATTTTTTCCTACATAACACAGCAGAGAGCACACTAAATTTGTTTGTATCTTAAAGGATAAGTTCACCTTTTGGACAAAAATAATAAATGCACATTTTTTTGCAGGTAAATGTATTATTTTTGTCCAAAGGAGCCTAGAAAGCAGTATACCAGAGATTAGTAGATTGCTGATGCCATGCAAGTCTCCTGCAGACCTGTTAGTATATCTGCTTGCCGTACAGGATATATGGTCAAGCAGGTATACTGACAGAAAGCTTCAATGAACTACCGCCAGTCTCTAAGGCTGTTGGGACTTGTAGGCACTCATTCACAGAACACTGTGAATGAGTGATAGGGCTCTGTGGGCAGAGCCTTGCATGGGTGAGCTGTTTTCAAATCTGACTGATAGTACAGGGGAACTTCTCCCCGTACTATCTATCAGAGGGAGGGGGAGCGGCGGGGGTGGCTGCAGCTATGGGAGCATGTTACATGTTCCACACTAAAAACAGGTGGAACATGTAAAATGTTCCAAAGGTGAACAAATCCTTTAAAGCTGAACTTCAGGTATGGTCATCAAGCACAGGTGCCATATAAGAAGTACAGAGGGTGCACTGCTTCACCAAATAAGAATGGTCATGAAACAGGCCACATAAAAAGTAGACACAATTGCAGTGACATAAAAGAAAACAAGTATCCAAATTAAAATTGCGTTTATTGAAAGTAAAAAAAGGCCTAACTGGCCACTAATGCTGGCTGAACCGTTTTGTCCACATATAATTGAATATCATGGGGGATATTGATGTCCAGAACATCACCAACAATGTATCCACTTTTGCAGTCAGATCTTGTGGAAGACATTAGGTGGGCTTCCTCCAGGAAGCAGAAGCAATATTGTATGCTAAAAAAAAAACCTGATCCATGACACCTGGCTCCAGAGTACCAGACTATATACAGTGCTCAGCATAAATGAGTACACCCCTTTTGAAAAGTAAGATTTTAATCAATATCTCAATGAACATAAGAACGATGTTCAAAATTATGACAAAATTGAGTTTTATAAAACAATCATTTACCTCATTACATGAAAGTAAATTTAATATTATAACTTAGATTACATGTTTGCTGTGCCATATGATTGGCACAATCAAAGAACAGGAGTACAGGCAGGTGTATATTTCTTCTTCACAGCAATAGCAGGTAATGTTTCTGCTTAGCCTATCATGCACCGTCTGAGCAAGTAGGCTACTTGGGGAAACTGATCCACAAAGATCAGCTAGGGTTCGTTCCATCACAGGGCACACGGACAACACTTCTTTCTCTACACGCCTTTTGTTACCTTACCTAACTTATTTGCAGTTCTTTCTGATTTTGGAGTGATCTCACATTTCCGCTTCAACTAATCTAAATCTAAGACCCTCAACATTTCCCTGACTCCAGAACACCTTGCCATATCTGACTGTCTGACTGACCACATCTTTTGAATCTCTGTACCGGGCAAACTACTCCCCTGTTTAAGAATTTAGCAAATCTCCTGGATGTCCCTACAGATTTGATTTTTAGATTATAGTTTGGCAGAATTCATGCCCTTTGCATGACATATCTGCCAAAAATACTTTACTACTTCAGAGTCCTCCCCATTCCTGTGCCCAGCCACAATTTGTGAGGAATGCAAATTACTTCACTTTATCTGGCAAAATCATAGACTCAGACACCCTGCTTCAGTTTTGTATCACTGTAGGCTCGCGGGTGGTCTAGCAGTTCTTAACCTAAAACTTTACTATACCGCCGCACAATTCACACCTCTAGTCTCGTTCTATGCTGCTGCTGAGATACCCATTTTGGCTCACTGGGTAATAACTGATTGTTCCTCTTTTCCCGTCTTAATCTTCTGTGGACCCCCCCTTTGTCAGGAATGGGCTCACCTGCCGTGTGGGCTGCAGTACCGGTGCTTGCCAGCGGGTGCTTTCAGCAGCCAGGATCTCACTCCTGCAATCAAGCCATCACCTGAGGCTGATCGAAGGAGGTGTATTTAAGCAGTACCAGGCCTGCAATCAGCGCATTGGTGTTTTCCCATGTGTCCTGTTGTCCTGATCCTGTTTCCTGTATCCTGTCTTCTGCCTGCTTGACTCTCCTGCTTGACTCTGCCTGCTCCTGTTGTACCTTATCTGCCCGATGGTTCCTGACCCGGCCTGCCTGACCACTCCAACTCTCCAGCCCTGACTACACTTATACATATTAATATTAGTTTAAGGTTTGGTTTTTGTTTGCACTGCATTTGTATATTTGTGCTCTTAATAAAAATTTATATTATTATTTCATCATTTCTGAAGCCTGCTGTTCCCTGTGTCAGTCCACACATCTATGGTCATACCTGGATCCCTGACACCCTTCCTTGCTATAGGCCTAAACTCTCAGACCCACTTTCTGCACCAATGGGATTAAGTTAATTACAATCAGGGGCCGATTGACCATTTGGAAACTCGGTCACTGCCCGAGGGCCTGGGGTCAGTAGGGGGCCCCATGAGATGCCCCTGGTACCTTTTTTTATAGGCTTTTTCCAGTTTGGGCAAGGCCACAGGGGCCCCATGATCCCCTATTGCCCGGGGCCCCATGAGTTTTCAGTCCACCCCTGAATACAATGGAAATATTGTTTCCCTCCACCTGCCCCTCTTGGGTATCTTTGATACCCCTCACTTCTCCCCAGCACACAATACATCTATGAATCACTCTCGATAGCATCAAATCCTTCCAATATCTCCAGCAACACTGGCAACTACTGGTCAACAAGCTTTTCAAATAAGCCACCATGTTTGTGTCCTTCTCAGAGGCAATACACGGCCTCCTGAATGCAAACAGCATTTGACAACTGATGCCATAAGGATCCACGATTAAAAGGCCTGGTCTATGATCTATATTCCTCCCTTCTCAACTCTATCAGTTCTCGCAAACTTCTATATGTTGAAAAATAGGAGAAGGATCTTGTTTCCCCTCCAGATCAAGGCTTATGGAACAAGATTTGGCTTTCCACCTCCAAATGCTCATGAGATATCTTAGCCCAAGAAAATGCCTTCAAAGTACTCTGGCTCTTGGCCAGAGCTTAGTGACATCTGTTTCTTAACTTCGCTGAGCTACAACAAAAGGCTCACCTCCATACTTGAAGATTCTCATGCTAAATTCTTAAAGGTTTGTGATCCCTGGATATCCTATAATGCCCACCTAAATATGGATCAAACCCTGCTCTCAGTTTGATACCACTAGCTGCTGTCCTTTGACACTACTAGCCCACATGGGATCACCCCTTACCCCTCTTTTTCTCTATTCTCCACCTCCCCTTTCTCTTCCCACCCCAGGAAAGCACCCCTCCTCTGCCCTTTCCTTTAGTTCCGGATTTCCTTATCTACTTATCTGTATTTTTCACATCTCTCCACTTCTCCCCACCGTTTCAGTGCTTATTTTATGAACTATTCGGCATCCTTCCCTTCTTCTCTCTGTAGAGACACCCATAACAGTTAACAAAGAGTATTCTTCGCTGTAATCAATAGTACCCTCATTTACTGTACAGGACATGATGCCTTCAACATCTTGTCACTATCATGTGTAGCCGTTGCCCATGACTTCTACTGATGTATTCTGGTATGC